ATTTCTATGAATTTTTTTTCTTTTTATATAATCTAAATATGATTTTAAAAAGATGAGAGAATAAGAGTAAAAGAGAAGAATATATAATTTTGCAGCATTATGTTAGAGATGAAACTTAATGAAAAAATAAGTTCAAATTACATTTTGAGGTAAAAATTTATTAAATTGAATTTCATTCCAATTATATTCTAAATATAATTTAAAGAGATTTTGGGGAAGGGGAGAAAAGGGAAGAAAATAAGTAATTTTGTAATATTGCGTGAAAGAAAGATACAGGAAAGGAAGAATTTGAAAGTAAAATAGATTTTTATTATTATTTTTTTTTGCGGAAAACTATACAATTTTTTAGAGTATTGCGGAATGGGATAGGCTATGGATGTGTGGAAGTGGCCAGAATGGACGGTTACATTTTTCTTTTGAAAGGGCGGAACCTAAACTTAATTCCCCCTCTTCCAACAAATGTTTTGTCCTCGATTCTAAGTCGCATCCGATTTTCAGTAACATTAACACTGAAAAAATAGTTCGGCTTAGATTTGACTAAATACGGTAGTAAAAGGAGCCTGATTATCATACAGTTTATATGCATATCACAAAACGGTAGTGAAAATTATATAAGCTCATCATGGTTTTAAAGATTAGCCGAAATTCGGAGAGATTCTTAATTAAAAATTAATTTATCCGTCTTTCTTAATTACAAAATAATTTGTGCCTCTAAATATAATTTCAGGCAACACTGCGACCAAACTTTTTTTTCGTTGAATATTTGTTGTACTGAATGCATGCTGATATACACTATAACACGAAAATGAAAAAAAAAGAGAGAGAGAAACTTCTGCGAAAATATACAGAAGAGACTTCAAACGTTTTAATAATCTTGTGTTACCAAAAGATTTAGCTGTTCTAGAGTTTCTCGTAATAAAATGTGCATTTTTACCCTTCCAATTCACTCTATGTAAAAAACATTTCATTTTGTTAAATTTTACGACAACCGAAAAAAAATATTTTAAATAGCTGAAAGTAGAGGGGGAAAGTTAATTGCCTCGTGGTTTTTCATTCTTTTAGTCGTACAGTATTTTTATCTCCTTACATTTTCTAATGCATCTGGTTTCAAATTTTATCAGCAATCTTATCCTATTTGTTTTCCATTTCTTAGGGAAATCCAAAACGCCTTAAACAAAAAACGAATGTTACGGGAGTGATTTTTTTTAAAAATCTTTAGTTATTACGGAAGTAATAGCTTTTTTCAATTCCTACTACTAATTCCCCCTCTCCCTATATATGTTTATATATATATATATATATATATATATATATATATATATGTATATCTTGTTCAAATTTTCAATCATTAATAAAATACTTTTATTCATCCACTCAAGTTCAAATACACTTTTTAAAACTTGTAGTGGATGGCATTTGTGCTGTTAATACAGATTTTTCAAATATTAATGAATTAATTAAATTTAATTAATGAATAAATAATAACAAACAAAAATAATAGTCCGACACCATAAATAAAAAGGAAAATCGCTTGTTGTGTCCCTGTTGCGCAATGGATTTCTAATCCAAAGATCGTGGATTAGAGCGGAAGAAGCACTTTCAGTTTAGAATTCGGAAGGAATACACAGTTTTTGTAGCCGGACTATTATGTTTAAACATCGCCATTAAATGGATCTCTGAACAAAATGGTGTCATATTAGACTAACTCATCTGTATAGATTCTCTTTCTTCCTTGGATTCTCTTAAGAGTATTTGTTCATCTCACAACATAATCGTCGAGATCCAAAAGCAACTTAAAAGCCTAAAAGATAAAAACATCTCAATACATTTTGCATTTGTTCGCGGACACTCGGGCGTTCTTGAAAATGAGTGGAACGATTGGCTTGTAAAGGCTGCAACCAAGCTCGAAATTAACATTACCGGTAATACTCCTAAATCATTTTACAAGAAAATTATGAAAGAAAGAATGGTGAAGTCTTAGAACCAAGAATATCTCATTTCAAATAGAAGGAGCTTGACCAAGAAATTTTTTCTAACCGTTAATGAGAGACTGGCCTGCCATCTCATTTTTATATATTAATTACAAAATAACCCAATTTCTAACCGATCTTGGCATTTTTAAAAGCTACTTGAATAAATTTAATTTAGTTCCGTCATTTTCTTGTGTTTGTGATATTAGTAGCGAGGAAAATGTAGAACATATGTTCCTTCTGTGTTCCAAGTTTGAAAGAGAACAAATCATCTTAAGACTGGCTTGCAAGAGATTTAATATAAATTGGCTTCCAAACCTTCTTCAACTTATTTCCATCGAAAGTCCTTTTGAAATGTTCTGTAAATTTATTGTAAATATATGTAATCTTTCATGACTTAATTTTTTTTCTTTTTCTTTGTAATATGTGTTTATACTTACTTTAATAAGCCCGTGTGATATTTTGTGGTGCACGAGGATTTTGTAATGGTTTTCAAGTAAAAAAAAAAAAAAAAATTTGTGGATTTGAGTCTCACCTGAGATGGTCTAATTTCTGAGAATGTGATTTCTTTTTACTATGCTATTTTATTGGAATAATTAAATTTAATAAATGAATATATAGTAACAAACAAATATAATAGTTCAACATCCTATATAGAAAAGAAAATGGAAAATTGCAAGGAAAATTCCTTTCTATTTTGCCATTTAATATTATAATTCTGTCATATGTATATACATATTTAGATTAATTGTAATTATTTAATAAAACGTAACTAAAATATAAATTTTCATTGTTGACCACGATGAGCAATTGACTTAATTTTTTTTATATTACTTGTTTACTTTGATTATTCAATTCTTCGATCTTTCAAAAGCAGATTATAGAATTTTTTTTCTAGACTAAGCTAAATATGGTACATAATTATTTAAACAAGTAATATAGAAAAAAATTAAGTCAATTCTCCTACTTAGATATACAAAGAAAAGTTTTATTTTATCTACTTTTTATTAAATAGTTACAATTAATATAAATATGTACATACATATGACAGAATCACAAGATTAAGTGGTAATTAATTTTTATTAATTATCATTAAAGTATTGTATTGTCATCCAAAACAATCGTGTATATAAAATTTCAGTTCTACAGAATGATTCAAAACGTGAGAAAAAAAACCTTTTCAAGTTTTGACACAAGTCGCCAAAAATGATGCCAACGTGGCTGTATTTGTAATTCTTTAAATAATTAGGTTTAATCAATTAATTTTTCTTAATTATAATTAAATTATTGTATTGTCATCCAAAATAATCATGTACATTAAATTTCAACTCAATTAAGCGCTTTAAAATGTATTTTATTAACGATTGAAAATTCCACCAAGATAAATAAACAAATATATAGAGGTGAGCTAAGAGTAGGAATTGAAAAATCGTATAAGATTCTGAATACTTTTTCTTAATAGGCAAAATTCATGACGGTCACGTGATAAATGCAATCGCGTATTCTCCATTGAATTCAAAACTGGCATTTGACTTGTAGTTGTTGTTCTACTTGTAAATTACTTAGATAAAATTTAAAATTTTACAATCGGGTAAAGATATTCAAGTATTAAAAAGTAAATAAAATAAAAAATTTCAAAACATATATTTAAAAAAATTCAAAAACTTCAAAATATTTTTCAAACTTGAAAAAAAAATATTGTTTTATACGTGTTGTGAATTCAGATTCGAAATTAAATAGAATTAGCGGACTTTACGTCTTATATACAAATCAAAAATAAATTAATCTAATGAATTTAAGAACAGGACTGAATAATTTAAAATAACTCATTAAGAACAGAATTTCGACTGAAGAATTTTGACATTAAGAATTTAACAAGAACAAAGTTTTCACATACCTAACTTTATTCCGTGGTTCGATTCATACATAACGAATAAGAACATATAGCGAATAATCAAAACCAACAAATATGTTGCCAGATATTTTACAATAATAAAAACGTGTGACAAACAAAAAAATAATTAATATGTTGGAATAGATTCAGTTCATGAGCCAACTATGTACATTGTTATGGCTGATAAATATGCACTTTTAAAATAAAGTTTCTACAAAAAGCAAAAGTTGGCAACAGTGAAGTGCATGACTTGATTAGCTGGAAACACGTGGTTGCAGTTATCATGTGTCTATAGCGTAAATTTATGTGTCTATAGCGTTTTTATTATCTGACAAATATAAACAATGAGAAATGCTGGGTTTTTTCATTTGTCATCAATTTTTTCTGGAATTCTCTTTTTCCTCGATCCATTCAAAGTACGAAAGAAATAAAAATTATTTAATATTGAACAAAAAGCAAACAATTTGATTTTAAATTAGGAATAATAAATAATTCGATATAAAAATTCAAATTAGACTTATTGAAAGAGAGCTTAAAAAAGATCAAATTGATGTCAGAAGTTAAAACAAGAGAGAGAGAGAGAGAGAGAGTAATATAAAAAAAATTTAAGTCAACCCCTATTTAATTAATAATTAAGATCAAGTAAGGTCTACCGAAATAGGAGATCCGAGAAATACACGTGCTCGAATTCTTAACTTTCAGTAACTTTAACTAAGTCGCTTAAACTGACGCTTATTTTAAGCGTACGTAAATTATATTTACCGCTGGCTTATATCAGCTTTCTGGTACGTCTAGCAGCACGACGTCTTCACGAATCTAATCTCCTTGAATCTTCTAAAAATGCGTTTAAAGTTGCTGGCTCAATAGCCTTCCATCATCTACTTGCTATCTCACAACGCTCGATTTAAATACCTTATCTAATTTGAATATCCCGTTCATCTTTTTGGAGTTGATTGGAAATAAACGCGAATTTATATTCCCCAAAAAGATGCCTAAGAAGATTAGTGGAAAGGTTCCGTACAGATTCGTCACAGGACTATTTTCTGTTCGTTTATTACTATTTATTCATTAATTAAATTTAATTATTCTAACAAAATAGTATAGCGAAAAAGAAATCACATTCTTAGTAATTAGGCCATCCCAGGTGGTATTCAAACCCACGACCTTTGGATTAGGAGTCCAACGCGCTATCCATTGCGCTCCAGGGCACAACAAACGATTTTCCTTTCTGTATATGCTGTTTGACTATTACTTTTGTTTGTTACTATTTATTCATTTTTTTAATTTAATGAGTGAATTAATATTTGAAAAAACTGTATTAACATCAAGTGTTATCCACTATAAGTTTTAAAAAAAGGCATTTGAACTTGAATGGATGAATAGAAATTGTTTTATTAACTATTGACAACTTGAACAATGTATGTATATAAAAGAAAAAATATAGTTAGGAAGCGAGTGAACTCTAATAAAGGAGTTTAATAACAATCTTTTTCCAGACATCATCTTCTCTTCCTTGAAGTTAAATTTTATATATATACTCTCTCTCGTTTTATCGTTTTCATTTATTTTCTAAATTCTCCTGCTCCCCAAAATGTTCGAATCTTCCTCGTAGGAAGGGGATATAAATATTTCTATTCTAAAGTTAATATTATATTTATATTTTTTAAAGAGCTTATATAAATTTCAGGATTTTAAGCAAAATATTTTCCGTAAACCCTAATGTTATTCCCTTAAGTGGAAAGTTTTTTGCTGATGTGTAAAAAGTGATTCAATCATTCAAGGGATTTTCCATACACTATTCTTTATTTTTCAATTCTACGCTTTCAATTGCAATTTATAAATCTTATTATTTAGAATTTTCTGTCGAGATTTTTTTTTTTTGTTTCTTCTATTAAAAGTAATCCAAGGAAAAGCAAAAACTATTTTGGAATTCCTTTTCGGTATCTTGATGTCCATTCACCTATCTTTGCCTTTTTACCTCAAGTCAAGCAGGCGTTCTGTTTTCCTTTACGAGTTTCGAATCACATTGCAAAAGAATTTTCTCGTACTTATTTCGTTTTTATTTTATTCATTCTTCATTTTTTTCAGAACGGAACTACTATTTCCTTCCGCTTGAGTTCGTAGTAGCAAACATCCTGTCGAGGCAAATAATACTCTTCCGTCCGAAAACTTCCACATTATTTTTATTTGCTTATTTATATATTTTTTTTTCTGTTCAAGAATCTCTTCCGATATTAGAAATGTTTACTCAACTCGAATACTTTTCTTGCCGGTTCCGTTTCGGTTCTGGAAAATTATTTCTGTTCTTCTCAGAATCTGGATGACTATAGCTTTCCAATAACTCTCTCGGCACTGAAAAAAAAATCGTGGAAGAAGACACGGAAAAAGTGAGAGAAGGAAATGAATTCAGTTATGTAATTGAGTGAGAAGAGCTAAAAAGTTTTCATGTAATTGATTTTTTTTCATTATACTATTTGGATCCAATGAATTAAACACAGAGGAAATTTATAATTTATAACATATTTAATTAGTTCCAATTTCGTTAAATAAAGTAGTACAGTTATAAAGATATTCTATAAGAAAAAGTTTCGTGAATGTGGCCTTCAAGTCTTTTAAGAAAAGATAATATAAAAGATGCTAGTCCTCTTAACCCCCTTCCTCGTTTTGCTGGATATTTCGTGATGTTGTATGAATATATACTCTTCATATAAATTAGTGATATATAAGTCCTAGCATTTGCAACGTGTCTATCCGCTTTCTTTCTACTAATTGTCCTCTTGGGGGAAAAATGGGTCTTCAAAATTATTCTATCGAAAACTTTCCTCCGAAGAAGAAAGCTCGAAGAAAAGAGAGGTTAGACTGCTATCAGATAGAAGGGATTGATTAGCGTGAAACTAGTCGAGAACACTTCGTAGCATATTTGATTAATATTAAAATTGACGTTTTGGTCAATTAAGTGTAGGATTATTTGAAATAAAAAGTGTATTGTCTGGACGTAAGTGATCCGATTTATTGTTAATTCTCCTAGTATCTCGTCTACCTCGTTATTGCTCCTATATTTAACAATTTGGGCATTTCATATCTTGGGTTGTTGAATCTGTGTCTTTGCTGAGAATTGATAATAAATAGAGAGAGTTGCATTGACCATGGCTAATCTTCCTTCTGACCCTCTCACACTAAGGGATGGTACGGGGAATCCCTTACACAGTAAGCGCTCGATTGTATTGAAAAACATTCTTATAACCCTCACCTCTTGGTTTAAAAAAGACAGGACTTGAATTTCCAAAATTGGAGTAGAATTATCTTTTACGATCCCACAACCAACTCCCCCAAAGTGGATTTCCGTAAAACCCATTTTTAGAGCATCTCTACTTACCAAGTTTAAGGTCTAAGTCTAGCAGTTCAAAAACGGAAATTCTTTTATTGATGTGCCCCGGAGTTACCCTTGAAAGTCAATTTCCGTTCGACCCGTTCTAAAAGGATTTCAATTCAACAAAAGAAGCATGCATTTTAAATTTCACTATTGCAGGTTTAGTAGCTTGAAAACGGCAATGTTCATAACGTGTCTTAACCACTCGCAGTTACCTTTGGGGTCTATTTTCCCAAAAACCTACTCTTATTGGATCTCTACTCCCTTAAGGTATCCAACTACTCTAAAATCATGATTTTTTTCAAAAATTGACAAGTTTTTTTATGATTTTATTTCATAGACCATCTTATTAACTTGATAAAAATATCAGTTTTTTTTTATTTTCCATTCACTAGAACAAAAACTACAGTGTTTTAGTAAAAGCACATGCCATAACTGTACACAAGATGTCAAACGTTAAAATGCGTTTTACTCGAAATGTGTGTTTTTCGAAAAGCTCAAACGGGGATAGCGATTGCTCAAAACGTTTTGAAAATAATTTGCTGAATTTTTTTGTGTATGTTCTGTATAACAGTAGAAGTGTTTTGACCTTCAGATTTATCAATTACTGTTTTATTTCAAAATTTACAGTCCTTTATGGGAATATAATCACTGTTTATTTAAGCAACTTCCTATAATCACTAAGATAAAATGCTCTAGTTTTCGTAAAAACAAAAATATCTTTTACCCAGAAGTTCATTTCAAACATGAATAACAAAGAAACACATCAAAATTAACAAATCGAGAATTTGTTCATAAAAATTTGTATAGAGCGGGCCCCATTTATTTAATTTTTTGTACATTTTTACCAGTTTTTTCCCATTTTAATAAGAATAAAAAAAAATTTCTCTTTTCAATTTTTGGATTTTTTTCCTTAAAATATACTAAATAAATCTAAAAATCCTGATATCTCCATTTTTTCAAAAAACAGTTGTCGCAAGTAGTCGCATACCTTAAAGGAACATGCCTGCCAAATTTTAAATCTGTTGCTCCCATAGTTCCTAAAAGATGTAAGTAAAAATGTAGCCTGTTCATAGAAAATATTTTGGAACAAAAGTAGTCGCGTGCTACGAACAGTGAGTACCCAATTAACTTAACATTATAAAAAACGTTTGCCGCTCCCGAAAAAGAGGAATATATGTGCTAAATACATTTTAGTTACCGTGAAGACTGTCATATCAAAGGATAACGACAAGGTAATTGGTAAGAAATAAACAATTTTCCCAGAATTAAACATTTCATGAGCCTGGGGGGGGTTCGTGCCCCACGCGACCGTTCCCGAATTTAAAGACAATAGTTACTTTTAACGATTTTTTTTTGAGTTTAGCAACTTTTTAGCTACTTTTGGGGAGGAATCTAGCTACACACATTTGAAATTGAGAATTGGCTACCATGATCAATTGGCTGCATTTTGCTGATATTGCTTTGCGTTGCCGATTTGGTCATGCTTTTTCTGAAAGTAATCAATCATATCAGTGAACCCCCAAATATAAAATTATGCATACAATGGGTCATGGAGTTTTAAAGATTGGCGACCTGTAACTTAGAGCCCTTTTTGGATTTTTATATAAAAAATTTTCTTTTAATATACACTCTACTGGCTTATTTATTTATTTTTGAAATTCTTTCGGCGTATCATAGTTCATATACGAAATTCGATAGTAATTCTCTCATCCGTTTTAACAGCAGGATGTTGTTTAAAAAGGTATTTTAAGGTGACCGCCTACCTTGAAAATGTCGCTTTTCGTCTACATAAGGCATTTTTTTTATTTCAAAATCTTATAGTTTGAACATTTTTCTTTCCAAAACAGTTTTTATTTTTCCTTTACGCGAAATAGAAATAAAGTTATAGGGATTTTAAAAAACACCACTCTATGCAAAAGGGCAGTAAGATAAAACTTTAAATGAGTTTTTCTCAAAATTATGTTTTCGAAAGAAACTCTTTACCTGATACATCATTATCTTAAGAACCAAACCAGATGACGTTTTTAAATTTTGTGGGAATGTTTATTATACTATTTTTCATAAAGTGGACCATAAGTTTTATTGTAGGTTAAATATTTTTTCATTTAGGGTAGTTTTTATAAAGAAAATTTTAAAAAAATATCAAAATTTTCATATTACTATGTATACTTGTCTGTAATTTTTTTTGTATTTTAATATTTCTCTTAGGTTTTGGTTCATTTTGAAGAGCACCATAATATGTATGTTGTATAAAGAAAATTATGATTATTGCATTAGAAACTTTTTATACAGTGTTTCCCGTTTTAGTAAAAATTTGGTAAAATTTCCTTGAAAACAACCAATTTTTCTAAAAGTACACTATTTATTTAAAATGTTTATGTATTTACATATTTTTTTTATTTTTCACCCTAAAACACTCAATTTGTTTCAAAAATTTGTTTTTATAAAAAAACAAAATCGGGTTCGAAGGTATTTAACTACCCTATATGTTATTGTCTGCCTAAAACGCTTTTTTTTTCGAATTAAAGAAACCACACGGGGGAAAATGTAATACAATTTTAACAGCTGAACATTTATTTGCTGATTACTCAAGAGACAGAAAAAAAATAGTCAACTAATGGAAGCAAAATTAATGCTTTTACTGTCTTCTATCTTCAGTCAAAATGTTGAAACCAAATTATAGTAAAATCACACATACATTTTTTAATACAAATTAATGTTTGCTCTAATTTGTCACACTTTTACGAAAAAAGATGAAAAAATTCCAATACCAAAAATACCAAGGAAGGGAAAGTAGAAAAGTTCTCACCATGGTTAAATTATTCAACATACCTAGA